GAAATTGCGTACCTTCCTCTTCCCGGACAAAGACTCCACTTACCGCCACCTTGGATACCTCAAAGCAAAGGTACAGCTGCTCATCCGCCTTCGGAGTGTGGAGCAAGGGCAGGTCGAAAGGTACCGTTTGAGTTCTTCTAAAGCTTGTTGGCATTCTGGGGTCCATGAAAAGTTATTCTTGTTCTTCAATAGTGATAAGAACCCGTGGATTTTGTTTGAGGACCTTGATATGAACCGGCCCAAGGAAGTTATACGCCCGGTTAGCCTCTGAACAGCCATGATGTTGTCCACCACAGTGATGTCTTCTATGGCTTTGATTTTGTCGAGATTGATCTTGATCCCTCGATTGGACACCATGAACCCGAGGAATTTTCTGGATCCGACCACGAATGTGCATTTTTCCGGGTTCAGCTTCATATCGTATTTCTTCAATATGTCAAAGGTTTCCTATAAATGCTTCGAATGGTCCTATGCTCGCATGGACTTGACTAACATGTCGTCAATAAAACTTCTATTGATTTTCCTACATGTTCTTCGAAAATCCAGTTTACTAGGCGTTGATAGGTGGCACCGGCGTTGATCGTCCGGGTCCATTCGAATTTGGTTGTACCCGGAATAGGCATCGAGAAAGCTGAGTATCTCGTGCTCGACCATCGCATCTATCATACGATCAACTAAGCAAAGGAAAAGAGTCTTTAGGGCATGCCTTGTTCAAGTGTTTGTAATCTACACACATTCTTATCTTATTTCCTTTTTTAGGCACGACCACTACGTTAGCTAACCAGTCCGGGTACTTAATTTCCCGAATGGACCCTATTCTAAGGAGTTTAGATACATCGTCCTTGATGAATACATGCTTGACCTCGGATTGAGGTCTCCTCTTCTACTTAACCAGACGGAACTTCGGGTCCAAACTCAGCTTATGAGTGGTCACCTCCAGCGGGATCCCTGTCATGTCAAGATGGGACCAAGCAAAACAAGCTACGTTAGCTTTAAAAAAATTAATGAGTTTTTTCCTGAGCTCGGGAGCTAACCCCGTGCCCAGGTATATCTTTCAATCCGGCATGTGTTCGATCAATGTGACTTGCTCCAACTCTTCGATCGTCTATTTGGTGGCGTCGGTATCATCAGGGGGTATGAATGATCTCGGAACTCCGTAATCATCCTCCTCGTCAGCTCCTAGTTCCTCTGGTCCGGCCGGGACCGGTGTCGGTGGTTGCTATTTAACTTCGGCTTTTCTGGTCGACTCTGTGTTTCCTTAATGTTGAGATGGCGGGCACCGGGAGTACTTCATCGACTGCAAACATCTCCCTTACAGCCAGTTGTTCTCCATATACCGTCTTGATTCCTCCCGGAGTAGGGAACTTTAACGCCTGGTGTAAGGTCGAAGGCACTGCCCTCATGTTGTAAACCCGTGGTCTTCTGAATAAAGAATTATATCTCATGTCCCCTTCAATTACATAGAACTTTATTTCCTGGATGGTCCCGGCGGTGTTCACTGGTAGGGTTATCTCCCCTTTAGTGGTTTTGCATGTCATGCTAAATTCGTTCAACACCCGAACTGCTGGCACTATTTGGTCTTGCAGTCTCGACTGCTCTACGACCCTCGATCTGATGATGTTGGTCGAGCAACCTGGATCAATCAACACACGTGTAACTCGAGATTTATTGATAAATACGGATATTACCAATGCATCATTATGAGGTTGTACAGTGCCCTCGGCATCCTCGTCGCTGAACGAAATGGTTCCCTCCGGGGCATAATCTCTAGTGCGTTTTTCCCTCGTGATAGGCACTTTAGTGCGTTGTATGGCCCTTGAGGGACATCGACCCCTCTAATGATCATGTTGATGATATGCTGAGGTTTCTCTTGTTCAGTCTGTTTTTTGGCATCCCTGCTTCTGAAGTGGTTTTTGACTCGATCACTCAGAAATTCTCGTAGGTGCCCGTTATTAAACAACCGAGCAACTTCTTCTCTAAATTGCCGGCAATCCTCAGTCCTGTGGCCATGAGTGCCATGATACTTGCACATCAAGTCAAGATCTCTCTGGGTAGCACCGAACTGCAATGGTCGAGGTAACTTGGTATCCATGATGGGCCCAACAGGCGACACGATACTGGTAGCATCGACGTTGAAGTTATACTCCGACAATCTTAGTGTCTCTCTGGCCCCGAGTGGCCTGTCGAAACCATTTTTTCTCATCAGACCTTGGCTATTGGGCCGTCGATCACTTCTCTTTTCGTTCCTCGTAGAATTGCGCCCAGGCCATTTTCCCCTTCGATCTGCGTTATATGGTTGATACCAATCCCGGACCAGCCTCGATTCATGATCGACGACTCTCTTAGACTTGTCGTCGGCTTTGATGGGATAAACGGACCTGGAAGAGGCCCTGAGTTGATCGTCCTCGACTCTAATTTTTGACTGGTACCTGTTGTGGATGTCAGCCCAAGTTACCGCCGGATACTCTACCAAATTTTGTTTCGGCTATTGTGAAGCCAAGGAGCTTCGGGGGTTAAGTCCTTGAGTGAATGCTTGAACAGCCCAATCATCGGCAACCGGAGGGAGGTCCATTCGTTCCATCTGGAACCTCGACACGAACTCCCTGAGCATCTCGTTATCTCTTTGTTTAACTTTGAAAAGGTCTGATTTTCTAGCTTCGGACCTATTTGGCCTTAAGTGCATCTGAAGTGCAATTTTTCACTTCAAACTTATTCGCCTTAAGTGTAGGAAAACGTTTGTTGCACTTCAGACAACAACAACAACATACCCAGTATTATCCCATAAACAAGATACTGATTTAATTGGAGATGCAGGGGATTGAACCATGTACCTCTCGCATGCAAAGCGAGCGCTCTACCATTTGAGCTATATCCCCAATAATTTTTCACTTCAGATTTATTGGCTTTAAGTGCATGAAACCAGTGGTTGCACTTCAGGCCTATTTTGCCTTAAGTGGATCTGAAGTGTAATTTTTTTACTTCAGACTAATTTTTTTTAAATTTTAGACCCGGTAAGTCTAAAGTTGATCATAAAGTAGGTAGGCTTGCAGAAAAATTTTCAAGGCGGGTATAGGTTCAATTGTGACCTCAAAACTAGGTATAGACGCAAAATCCCCCTTCAAATCCAGGTCCAACATTGGATTTTAGCGTGTTCGATTTTCTTACTTCAACACCCAGAATATTTGACCTATATCTTTTATTCGTTCTAAAAACATTTAAATAAGTTTAAAATTTTCGTTTTGAATTAAAAAATAAATAGGTACTCCCATATATTATTTGAAAGTTGATAGTACTCCCTCTGGTCCACTTTAATTGAATTTTTTGTTGGTTTAATATATATTAAGGAATTCACCTTTTAACATTAATTAACAATGAAATTGACCATACTAACCTTAATTTGTTCATTGAAAATATAACAAATACTCCTAGGCTCTTTACTCCAAGGGCAAATTTGAAAAAAAAAAAAGTTAACTCTCTCTTGATATTTGAAAAAATTTAATATTGTGGACCACAAAAAAGGGCCAAAAAAACAATTAAAGTGGGCCCAAAGGAGGGAGTATAAGGTAAAAATTGCACGGGGCGCCCTATTTGGTCGCCCCCATTTAACCTATACCCATATTTTTAAAAATTATTTAACTTATACCCTAATTTTTACAACTTCAGGCGCCTCCTTCTTCCTGCTACCTGTGTGCTCTTTCTTCCTCCTTTCTTTTCCTCTTCTTCTTCTTCTTCTTCTTCTTCTTCTTCTTCTTTTCTCTCTCAAACACATGAGACTCTGTGTAAGTATTATTGATTGAAAACACAGTGATTTAACACTAAGGTATGAACTTTGCGTTAAGTACATCTGAAATTTTATTCCCCCAAAAAAGAATTAAAAATTAATGATGAATTTCCCGATAATTTCATTATAGCAACTGGATCTTAATGACAACTGGATCTTAGAGCTGAAGTTCAGCAAATATAAACAAAAACTTCAGCTCCTAGAATGCTGAAGTTCAGTAAATACAAAACAAACTTCAGCCCTGAAGTTCATCACAAACATAACAAAGCTTCAGCTAAAATATGCTGACGTTCAGCAAATATAGAACAAAACTTCAGCTAAAACATGCTGAAGTTCAGCAAATAGAGAACAACACTTCAGCTAGTAGAATGCTTAAGTTCAGCAATTACAAACAAAAACTTCAGCAGACACTTGGTTCAGCAATTTTTGTTACTTCAGGCTCGTCTACTAGAATGCTGAAGTTTGCATAATTGCCTTTGCTACTTCGGGCCCGTATGCCTGAAGTTACGCGAAAAACTTCAGCTAAAACATGCTGAAATTCAGCAAATAGAGAACAAAACTTCAGCTACTAGAATGCTTAAGTTCAGCAATTACAAACAAAAACTTCAGCCAACACTTGGTTCAGCAATTTTTGCTACTTCAGGCCCGTCTACTAGAATGCTGAAGTTTGCGTGATTGCCTTCGCTACTTCAGGCCCGTATGCCTGAAGTTACGCGAAAAGTGGGTACGCTTGTAATTTTTTTTGCAAAACGGGTATAAGTTAAAACGTGATCCAAAAAGCGGGTATAGATGCAAATGCCCCGAGTATAAGTTAAGGTGTTTAATTAGAAAAAATCAAGCAATTATAATTGCTTTATTGTTAACTGATTATCAGAATTCTTAACTCTTTGCGATCACCTAAATCTAATCAGGGGGACGCAGGCATTGGACAACATGTATTATTCATTGTTTCTTTTGGATGAATTGTCCAGAACCGTAAAGCATAGACAGGCAAAAAAGTGAAACGGACATGCAGCTTCAAATGCTATGTCGTTGAGGATCAATGAGTTGTTATTAATAACAAGTTGAGCATCATGCTTTCTTTAAATCATTGAGACAATTTTAATATTTTAAGCATAAATGCATAATTATTTTAATTAACATAGCCACAAATGCATAAGCAGCCACAATGACTTTCCAGTATTGATGTTTAACTTAGTGATTTATGAAATTATTTGTCTGTGCAAAAGCCATATCTCCTGCAGAAACATTTTGCTCCATTGGAGTTATCTATAAAAACAGGCGTCAGAAATCAAGCATGCAAGGAGGTTCCCCTACTTTCTTTCAACTATCAAACTATCAAGAATACAGCATTCTACTAGTTTCGTTAGTTTTCACAATTGCTTCACATTAGGAAATCTAAACTTATGTTCCTCGGTCTCTAATACGAATGTTGTTAATGGCTCTTGATGCCATGGCCCTCAAATTCGATCTGGCCAGAGCAAGAGAATTCCTATACTGCTCATCAGAACGCCTTGTCCTTAAGGTCGCTGTGAACTCCTCTCTCTGCAATCGCAATGCCAATGCAGCATCCTGATCCTGGCTTGGTGGTAACCCTGTCCTTGTCCTTAAGTTAATATCTCCACCTCTGCTTGACATCCCAGAAGGCCTGACAATTTGCCTTCTCATAACGTGAGAATTCATTCTTTGTGGATCTCGAGAGCCAGATTCTGGACTATGTAATGCTGGGACCCTATCTGTTCTGCTTCTTGAAATATTAGAATGACTAGCAATTCTTGCTGGACTTTGATGCTCAGCTTCTCTACTATTTAAAAATCCAGCTGCCTTTCTTGCTTCTACATCTTTAGGAAATAGTAGTTGAATTGTATTCCAAAGGACTGTATTTACAGTGCAACATCTTCCATTGCTGCAAAATCAACATCAATTTGTAAGTGTTGAAATAGAAGTGTCATCACGTTATCTTTTAGATGTGGCAATTCACACAAATCAACAGGAAGTACAAGTCTAATCGTTCTTTTCTTCCTCAATAAGATCTCCCCTCCTGCTTAGTAGAAGTAGTCGGGAATGCTAATAAATAGGAGTAGTACCTGATAAGTTGTCTGCACTTAGGGCATTTCTTTCCGTATTTGTCAGCAGCAGATCGCAAACACTTCCTACAGAAACTGTAGACATAAATAAGTCAGAACCTATTACTAAGTATTGTTGTATGAATCTAAGTTGATGTGGATGTCAATTAGATTGTACCTGTGTCCACAAGGAGTGGTACTGGGTTCAAAACAAATCTCCAAACATATCTACAAATACAAATAAAATTACTCAAACTTGAAATTTTGGAGAAGGCAATAAACATTCCTTTTGTCAACAGATGAAAATAAACATCAACATTCAAGAATGGACTCTAGACTCTTACGGCACAAGAAAGCTCGTCATGAAGTCGATCCATGCAGAGATTGGTTGAAGCAGGAGAGGAAACACAAGAGCTATAGTATTGAAGTTTACTCGGAGGATTTGGCTCTGGCTTCCTCTTCTCAGTTTCTGCTAATCATTGAAATGATTCTTTTTCTAGTTGTAACATGTTGAGATTAAAGTTGCTCAATGATCATGTTGGTACACTTAATTAACTTTGATGTTCGGAAGAAATCTTTTTTTTTTTTTTTTTTTGGTCAGTAGAAAATATAGAGAAACTATAGTATTGAAGAACCCAAATGAAACAGTTCCTGATTGAACAAAGTGAATATTAAGAATTCATACAAATGACTCCAACTAATTCGGAATTGAAGCATAGTAAGTAGTTGTTGCAAGTATTTACACATCAAACAATTCAGATATGTGAAATGACAAAAAAGAAAAACCTTGTTTTGCAGTGGCATGGTCATCATCATCAAGATGAAGAACAGCAACACGTATGGAAGCAGGGCTCTTCTTCTGAGTCCTTCGTTTCCTGGAAATATCACAAAATATTAAGCATTTCCAATCACCCAATCCTGGAAATGTTCGATTTAACAGAGTAATTACCTTCTGGAATTAGAAGGCGGAGTGACGAAACGCTGCAAACCAGCAAGTTTCTTTTGCTTACGTTGGGATTCAGGAGTGTCTTCGACAATAAGAGTAGCCATCAAAAGCGCCTCTTCGTCCCAACCCGCCATTGCAGTGACTGATCTGAATCTTGGGCTGAACAGCGCCTCATGTTTTTCGGCTTTTGTGTTACTGGGGCTTTTCTTCACCTCTTCATTCACCATTCTGTATTGCGATTCCCTCCCTGTTTCTTGGATGAAACCAACTGTTAGAGAAGTAACGGTCAAGTATCTCCAATGTTAAATGGGCTTCTTTCTGGGCCTAACGGCTATTTTTTTTCGTTTTTCCCCGCTCACATTTTGCCCTTGTGTTTTAGGTTAACTCCAGTTTTTGTCCATCTATATATTACATTTATTTGACCTTAGATTCAATGAAATTAATGAGTTTAGTCCTCCAATACATGCAAATCACAGCCAGCCAAACTAGAGTTCTCCAAGGCAACGAACTCCATATTTATGTTCAATTTTGGAAATTCAAGACTTATATAATCACGAATCAACGTGTTACATGACAAAAATGAAATCAATTTAACATGCATTATCTGTCTACTTTATTTATCCTTCAACAAAACTATCATCCGTTAAAAGCAAAGAAAGAGGGATTGTAATTGTGAGGCAAAGGCGGCTTAAGGCCTAAACCAATAAAGCCTTTGTTTTAGGCTTCCAAAACCTAACCTCAAAAATTATTACGAAAATATTGAAGTTTGTAGAGAATAAAATATAAGCCAATCAACTTTCTAATTGATGATTGCCGAAAAAGACTACTTAAAAAAAATGGTTTTAAGACATAAATTTTATTGAACCACTTTTGTTTCAGATTGAGATAGTGATAGTGATGGACATGAGAAGTCTTATTTATAGTTGTTGTAGTAGAAACAAAATACTAATAACTATGTCAGTGCAGAGCACCTTGATGTTATAAAGTGTTTTATTTTATTTGTTAATACCACCAAATATCAAAGTTAAGAAACGACTAGGGCATCCGATTGGGACAAATATGAACATGAGCAGATATGGTTTCTTTAAGTCAACAAGAGGAATCAAACAGGGGGACCCCTTATCACCCTCATTATTTGTCATAGGAGGTGAACTTCTTTCAAGGTTGATGGACAGTTTAGTAAATGGTGGATTTATTCCTTATGTTGTTGATAGGAAAGGGCCTATTATTACTCATTTATCCTATGCGGATGACACTGTTTTGTTCTCCTCTAATGATCCAGAATCCTTGAAGATGATGATGGATAATTTGAAAACCTATGAGCAATGCTCAGGCCAATTGGTAAATAAGCAGAAGTCAGTTTCTTTATGCATCCAAATTCTCTGGATGATACAAGGTGGGCAGAATCACTGGTGTCAGAGCTTCAGAATTTCCTATGCAATACCTTGGGTGTCCTATTTATGTTGGAAGGAAAAAGGTTGTGTACTTTAACAATATGGTGGCAAAGGTAGCAGCAAGATTACAAGGCTGGCAAGGGAAAATGCTTTCTTATGGTGGGAAAGCTACTCTTGTCAAATCTGTGTTGCAAGCGCTGCCTCTTCGTCAGCTGTCAGTGCTATCTCCGCCTAAAACAATCATTAAACAAATAGAGAGAATTGTGGCTAACTTTTTCTGGGGAAAACTGGAGGACAAACACAAATTTCATTGGATAAAGTGGTCTGCTTTATGCTACCCAACTTCTGAAGGATGGGTGGGATTTAGATCCATCCATGATTTTTGTAATGCTTTTGCTGCCAAGATGTGGTGGAATTTCAGAACTAACAACTCCTTGTTGAGTAAAATTCTGACTGTCAAATATTGTAAAAGGGGTCACCCTATATCAAAGAAGTGGAGATATGGCCAGTCACATATCTGGAGAAGGTTGATGGAGATCAAAGATGCAGTGGAACCTTTCATTCTCTGGAAAATAGGCGATGGTGATTCTTCATTCTGGTGGGATAACTGGACTGGCTTGGGACCATTGGCCAAGCTAATAGATGGCAGGCCAACTCCAATGAATATCAAAGTCAACGATTTCATATCAAATGGTAGGTGGAGATGGGATTTGCTAAGTCTTTTATTACCTGCCAGTGTTGTTAACAAGATACAAAAGGTTGAAGTGGCTCAGAGCAGGAAAGATTGGGCCTACTGGACTCTGGAAAACTCAGGTAGTTTCTCTACAAAATCAGCTTGGCAACAATTAAGGATATCTAGAAGTGAAACCTTCACTGGCAAGTTCTTGTGGCACAAAAGAATGCCTTTTAAGGTGTCTTTTCTGATGATGAGACTTCTAAAGAACAAAGTCTCGACAGATGAAGGGATTCAAAGAGTTGGTATCATGATTCCCTCAAGATGTAGTTGCTGTACCCTACATCAAGAGGAAACAAGCTCACATCTATTTGGTGATAGTAACATTGCTAGACAGGTTTGGATTTATTTCTCCAGTACATGTGGCATAAGGCATACGACAAGATCAGTTAGGAGTTTGGCGATGCAGTGGTGGCTGACTATACCAAAGAACGAAGTGCATAGGGTTCTATTACAATGTCTGCCATCTGTAATTTGTTGGGAGATATGGAAGAACAGGTGTGCAGCAAGGTTTGAGAATTTACATATGTCTAGTAGGCATATCATACGGCAGGTGTGTCACTTAATGTCATTGATTCTGCAATGTCAGTTCTCTAAGTTGAATTTACCTGTAATATGGGAGGACAAGTGTGCTTATGTGAAGAAATTACAACAAGTTATCCACAGTCAACTGGTGATATGGTCCAGACCTGAGGAGGGGTGGATGAAAATGAATGTAGATGGCTGTAGCAAGGGTAATCCAGGAAGTGCGGGAGGGGGTGGCATAATAAGGGATCATCGTGGCCTCATGATTTTAGCATTTGCTGATTACTTTGGTCTTTGTAGTAACAATGTGGCTGAAGCTATGGCAATTCTTCGAGGATTGTGTATCTGTATTGATAGAGGATTTCTTAAGACTATTGTTGAATCTGATTCTCTTATGTTGGTTAATATAATCAATAAGAAAGTCAGACCTCCATGGCAAATTCATAGCATCATAGCACAAATAGGAGAGTTGATACAGAAGGGATCCTTCCTTTTTGTTCATGCAGACCAAATGGCAAGTTTGGGTGAGAAAGTCAGGAACCAGATTGTCTTCACTGAAGATCTTTCTTTGCCAAGGCAAGTTAGAGCTTACTTGAAGCAAGAACAGGATGGCTTCCCCAATTTCAGATTTAGGCAAAAGAAAAATCTATTCTCTGTTAGTAATGGCTGAGATGAAGGATCTTATATATGTTATACACTTCAACTGTATTGCTTTGTGCTTTATAGTTGACTCTTCAAATGTTGTAATGGAGGAGTCCTCCCATATCTTAGCTACAACTCTTTTGCATTTTTGCATAGGAATGCCTAGCAGCACTGTTCATCATACTCTGGAGGCTATGGTTTATGTCCTCCTCCATGTACTTCTGTTATTTGATTTATATACAGGTTAGGGCTATTCCTAACTCCCACCAAAAAAAAAAAGTTGATCGAAACCTTTTGAATAGTGAGTGGCGTTTGCATCGAGTCTGGAAGACATTTTTATAAAGAAATTTTTGACTTCCAATGGTCATTTTTTAACCTTAGACCAGTAGAGTTGCCCAATACTTGTACTAGCAGGAGGATTGATGTGCGTACAAACTGGTCTAAACATTACCAAACATTATACTAGCTGCTCTAAATAATCATTCTTAAAAGAAATATCCCAACTCCAAGCCCCATATTTCTGAAAAAACCAATGGCAAACAATGGTAAATACAAAAGAATAAGGTCATTCAACATTGAAAGTTCAGAGGATTATCTACAGAAACATTTCATGCCAAACATACATGTGATACTACAGGGATTTAACTGCAGACTAGAAGAAACTAGATGCAAAAATAATCTTAACAGATACCTCAAGAATCATGTTCTTTTAATCTCATCACTTGTAAATTCAACTAAAAAAATACCAAATTAACTCCAGCTATGGCTGCACTGCAGAATATAAAACATTCAGGCTCTGCCACGCAATTCCATATGTACAGTCGTCGCATCTGAATGCAAATAGAGTCGGTATCCAGTTCTGTTCACTGAGAGACCTGGGAAAGCAAATTTTTGCAAAGTACCACAGTATGAACAAACACGGAGACATGGCTCATTTTGTTGATTCCACCTCCTTTGATACAATTCCCATCCGCAATTAGCATACAGGTAAGCTCATCAAGGGTGACGTAACAGTGACAAATATACTAGTCTCTACTAGCCAGTGGGTGAATGAGGGGTTGTCCTAAGAGAAACGAGCACCGGCTCATTGCTAGCAGCTTTCATTGCAGCGATCTCCTCTAATCGTTTCCACGTCATTTCACGTTTTGTCTTGTTCTCTTCTTCATGAGCCAGATCTTCTTCAAATTTGTGCAAGCATTCCTCAAAAAGTTCAGGATCAATATCAGAGAATATTTTGCGGACATTTAATGTCAAGCTTTGTACTGCCTGATTCCAGTGGCCTCTAGTATTCTTCTCCAAGGCAGGAAAGATTATTGGCAGTATAACTTTACGATTTTGTTTAATTAGGTTCTCAATATGATCATTGTTCCACAGGAACAAAGCCCTCTCAGCCACCTGTCAATGCAAGATTTGAACAGATTGAAAATGAACTAGAATTTGTCACACACATAGAGGGGGAAAATGGAAGCTGCAGATAATGGATCTGGTCTATCTCATTCTATCAAACAACCACATTACATTACATGTTCAGTTATCATTGGTTTGATTTCAATCATAGATGTCAGAGAATACACTTGTCCATCATTGGTCACATAAAGGTTTTGAAAAGAGTTTATAATGTCCTGGGCGGCTCCAACTATTGCCTAAACATAGTATCAGTTACCATGCTTATATTAGTTAACATGGTATCAGTGAGCTCATTTGACAACTGTTTTCTCTCTACCTACTGTATTGCTCCGGGCTTCTGTCTCTCAACTCAGTCCATCGAGCCGCTCTAGACTTCTCTCATTTATCTCTCCCCGTTCAACTCACCGAGCCACTAAAATTACTCCATACCCACTCCGTAGCCTCTTGAGCCTACTCTCTTTCTCTCTCAGCTCCAGGCCCACTTTAGCCTATTGAGCCTGCTCTCTCATGCTCCAGGCCCACCCTCCTCCTATCGAGCCTAATCTCTCCCTGCATTAGGTCCACTGTTAGAAAAAACGAAAATAGAAGTCTTCAACACATGCAAACTGTAGAACATGGCTACATGTGCGGGAGGATGTTAGAAGTTAGATCAAACTAGTCTCCATTGGTTGTGCAAGGGTTTCCAAAGGGGTTTATAACGTCGTAAGCCCCTTCACCAATTGCCTTAAAGTTTTGGGTAGGATGCTTAGATAATTTCACAATAGATATAAAGTCTTAGCCAAAATGTTGCTTCGCAGGTTGGAGGATTACCTTCTATCAAGCTATCCCAGGAAGTTGCAACAAAGAATGTGCAAGTCTTATTTTATGTGAAGTTGTCGCAGTCACAACAGAAAAGCAGCAAGTTAGAGCATCTCTACGAGAAACAAAATCGAATTGGCCAAGAGACATGCACAAATCCTGACTGCTTAATAACATACAGAAACAAAAGAAAGTTTATAAGCACCACCTTACTCTCTTTGGCAAGAGGAGTGGAAAATAGGACGTAAGAGAAGATGCTTACATAGGCAAAAGAATCTCCAATGGATCCTAGGCTGATAATGAGCAACATAAAGGTCTTCTAAGACTAAGAGATTTCAGGACTAAACTTTGTCTGGTGTTCTCCATATCTTTCAGTAGATATGCTTTAGCTAGATTACTTCTAAAATGAGCCAGCTGTGGCCCCTTCCAGGGGCTACCCAGATAGGACAAAATAACAACAAGAACAACTATTTTTTTTGACTCATTTCTATGCTCCATAAGAGATGTTGCTTATCATGCTATACATGCATTTACCTCTGCAATTGTTCTTTTGGGAGCCAAAGCTGAAACTTGATCCTTAGTAAAAAAAAATCTGGTCTGCAGAGACATTAATATTGGGACAGGTCACACTTAATACTTGAAAAGTTGCAGGGTCGCATCCATAATTTTGGTAGAGAAAACGTAAAATGTTAATTTTTGAGAGTACAATCAGTAGACAGTTACTCGAATGAAAGAATATGTAAAAATCTCATGCGAACATCAGATTTTCCAGAAGATCAGATACATAGATGTGCTGCTCACTGCCTATATAATGCTAGATTGCTAGTACCCTCTTGCAACATGACAAGTCAAGTAGTTCTTACAACCCTACGTTGCTCCGACTCGTTTACAGGTATGTAAGTGGTTGGGTGGAAGTATCCGATGGGTACCTCAACCTTTTGATAAATTTGTGTATTTTGAAGAACCGGCACAAAGTACCCACACCCTTATCACACTCGTAGGCCATGGTTATGTCAGGAGAAATGAGGATTCAGGCAACATAGCTTACAACCATAAGACATTTTCTGGTCTATTTTCCTTTACTGGCTCTCGCTGAAAAGTTTACTGACTTGAAAAGATAATATCTGCAGTTGGTGCTATTTATGTGAGAATGAGGAAGAACAGTGAATCATCTGTTGCTTCCTTGCAGTTACGTTTTGATTTTCTGTAATCTCTTCGGGATCCAATGGGTTATGCCAGCAAATGTGAAGCAGGTTTTGAGCAGTTGGCAGAGGCAAGGAATAAGAAAGGGGAAGAATACCTGGAAGAGTATTCCTCTATGCATATTATGGAACATCTGGCTCGACAGAGGGAAAGGAAGAGAATGTGTTTATTATGAAGAATAAATGTATTCAAAGTTATAAAGACTGGTGTAATGCAAATTTGTCTACTTATACTGATGTTATGCTGGAGTTTTTGGAGTCCTTACAACTTTAGAGGACTCATATCCAGTAATGCTTTTGTACTATGTCTTAATACTAGCTTGATGCTGAGCTTTTATTAATTATAATATTACCTATTTTCATAAAAAATACATTGTTATATTCGTAGAATCATGTGAGTGGAGAAAATACTGATCAAGAAGAGAATCCGAGAAGGAGATAAAAGGAAAAGCAACTGACATATAAATTTCAATATACATTTTATTGAAAAGGTATTCTATTTTCTTCAATTTCACCCGAGCTTTTGTTTTGAGTTAAGAAATCATTATATCTGTCCCAAATTTCTCCGTTGATTTTGGTCAAAGTGCCCCAAATTGGTTGACCAAATCCAATACGTTTCCCACACCCACACCTATGTCGTGTCGACACGGGTGCGGCACCGAAAATGAAGAGTCGGAGCAACTTAGCTGTATTGCATAATGATTAGATCAATATTTTGACCCATTCTTCTCCAAGTTTATACAGCTATGCCCAAACTCTATTTAGTCAAGTAATTAGTGCTCATAAAGTTTGGATTTTAAACTACACAGAACTCTCTTGCAAGCTAAACTGTATTTCTGATACAGAATGAACTTTCCATCATGCTTTTTAATTTAATCTCTATCAGTCCCTACACATAGATTCTTACTAACATGTTCTCATTGCTCCTTGGTGATTTTAGCAACTTTCAGCTTATTACGAACCTTAATATGAGGCATCCAAATTTCCAAACACATCAAGATTCAGTCAGGTGACCCATGAATTCTATTCTTTCAGGAATGAACAAAGGAGAGAAAAAAAGAGTATGTCAAATCAACCAAAAACACCAACCTGAAAGTGTGAGCTGCTCAAGCAACGACTGATCTGACGAAACATCGGAACCATACAGCGTTGAAACTCTGGAGGCTGAGTTGCTTCTAGGACCTCTTCCAGCTCACCTAAGAACATTACTTCCTTTGAACTGTTTGTGATAGGCCAATATTTCAACAGACCTCTTATGACAGTATCAGCAAGCTTGCAGTCCTTTTCCACAAATTGTATAATGCAGTAAGATAACTGCTGATGATACATTTGTGCGCACTTTGGTTTATGAAGTGGGATAAGAGCTCGAACAAGGAACAACTTGTGCTCTTCCTTGAGTGGTAGAGCAAACCCATTGATTATACTGCCCAAAATTTCTAACAGTTCTGCTATTCCATTATGTTTCTCAGTTTCAAAAATAAACCGATAAAATATATTGTTGATTGATTTCCTAATGAATGGGCGGTGCACCATGAACTTTCCATATATCCGGTGAAGTACAGTCTTCAAGTACTCTCTTTCCCTAGGATCTTCTGAATCAAAGAGATCTAATATTCTTAGAACAAATGAGTGATCAATGTATCTCTTAGCCAATTTTGCATCTGTCTCTGGTGATGCCACAAACCTGAGAAGGAACTCATACACAATTTGCAAATGTGGCCATGCAGGGTCCATCAATGGTTCATCTTCTTCTATGTCAAAAGCTTCTAAAACTTTGTTTTCGGGAGGCTGAGGAGTAGGAGGCCTGAATAAATTTGAGGATACCATTTTAATTACTTCTTGCATGACTGCTTCTGGAAATTTCCCATTTGCAGAAGTAACATAATCAACTAGCTCCACCAATGTCTGTCGCTTGATGTCTTTCTCTTTCAAGTTTTTAGTTGGGTCAGAAAAGTCAAACAAGACACAACACAAGTTCAGCTTTTTGATGAACAAGTTTTGCTTCTCGGAAGCTGGTACATCCCTCAAATTAGGCAATGCCTCATATGAGAAAACTGATGCATTTCCATTCACCTTACCATTTATAGCCTGTGGAAGTCTATCCCCGTGATTCAGTCCTGGAGTTGAAGAACCAGTGACGCCTGAAAGAGACGTCGCACTCAAACTCCCGGATCTGGAACTAGACAAGTCAGCGCTTCTTGAACTATTTGAAGCATTAGACTGAAATGTAGAGCTTCCTCCATCACGATTGTCTGCTGACTTAGACGGCTTCCGTGGGAGCCTATTTAGTATCTGCTTGATCATCTCCTACAAGTAGACCTAAATGCTTTGCCGCTCAAAATACTCAAACTAAAAACACATAGTCAACCAGAAAGGTCTAAGCTGCAGAAATCCAATTACTAAACAAATTTTGGTGATCCACGGGGGTCCTGCACCTCACAAAATTCTTATCTTCACCACACTAAACCAACATAAAAGCTTTATATGATCCACTGTTGTGCCTGTATCACCAGATGAATCTCCTCATCATCTCAAAACAAGATTAACAAAAAGGGAAGTAAAATGAAGAAAATCCCAAATATCTACTAACATAGTTTGACTTAGCACGGAGTCTTAAAAAAGGAAATAAGACTTTTGAAACTTGTGGTCGCAAGCATGCCATGACATTTGTGTGGCTCTAAGACTTTCGAAACTTGTACCTTAAACATGTCATAACATTTGTATAACTATAAAAGTTTCTCTTTAAGAGTAAACTGGAAGTTTAGAGTCAATTTGTTACCAAATATAGAAATGTGTCATTCTTTTGGAACGAACTAATAAGAAAATAGTGTCACATATAATGGAGCAAAGTCCAGGAGGAATAAAGCTAAATTATCAAGTCTTCAGAAACTATCAGAAACTAAATTATCAAGGCACTCCCATTAAAAACATAAAGAAGTAGCACAAAAACCAAACCCAGATGCAGCAAATGTAATCTAACCCATAAACAGATAAAAAGTATACAAAAGCATCAGAATTTAAATATCAGAGATTACAATTCTGACCCATTAATGTTCTTTTGTACCAATAAAAGGTGAGAAATGTGCACCAACCTTGATTTTTTCTTGTATCTGAGGCTCAAACAACTCAAAGGTGATGCATCAAGATCAAAAAATGTTAAGATCTGGGCATTATTTTTAGAAAAATCCCAGATGAAATTCCTCACCAGGAATCACCTGCAAGAGAGCAAGAAAAAAAAACTTTTATAGAAAAAAAAAAATGACATTAAAGGCAGAGAAATCATGAGCTTTGAATGCTTACATTAAGTTGGTTTGGTGGTGACAGGAAAGAAATAAAGCTGGAGAGTGAAAAAGAGATTGAATTTCTTTAATTTTAGAGAGTTGGGTGAGTGATTCAAATCTGAAAACAACCCCAACTGAGAGGAGGGAAGACAGGAAAAGGGGATGATGGATTTGAGGAAACCAATCTCTGGTTGTTAGTTTCCTGATGAATGATGATGATGATGTGTTTGGTTAGCAAGAATTATTGTTCTTCCCATTTTTCTCTTGCCATTTTGTCTCCTACTTTCCTTTTTTTTCCTCTCTCTAACTTTCCTTTTCTACCTTTTCTTTTCTTTTCTTTTGGTTTATGGGTCAAATTTGCCCCTCTTATCCAAATTACGTAAATAATTTTATCTTCCGTTAATTTTTTTAATTTAATATTATGTCGTCGTTAGGAAAACGTTTCATATTTGTTCTTAACTCCTTAATAGAGCTAAAGACACTTTTTAAATTCTAATTAAAAAATTAATTGGTAAATTTAAAGCTTTCTTCTTACAAAAATAGATCAAACGTATAATTTTTTAAACAAAAAAAAAAACAGTATGGTACACAAAATATATTGCATTCACGCAGAATTCGGTAAGGATCGACTCAGAAGTATGTAAGGTAAACATGTATTAATGGCTGCTTCTATGGTTCGAACCTGTGATTTATATGTCACATTAAGACAATTTTATTATAGCTCTCCAAAGTTTCCCTTCCAAAAATATTATTAACGGCAGATTTAAATAATTTCCAATTATACAAATGTGAATTTGAGCCTTTTTCCTCATTCTGTTAACTTGGTTTTGTTCTTTTACTCCTTTGGTCCTTTTTTTTGTTTATATTTTCGTTTTTTCGTCACAGATGTCAACCTTTTTTCTTTTTCCAACACATATGTCAACCTCAAAATCCACAAATCTAATGATACTTTCTGAATTTCTCCAGAATCCAGTTTCACCTTCAAAGTGTAAAGAGAGTTAAATAATGAGAAGGTTAAAGATGAGAATTGAAGAGCAAAAGTGAAGAACATGGTTGTACACACGATTCTAAGCATGGGTCAAGGGGCTTACCAAATACTACCAATTGTAGTGTAACATGAATGATAAGATATGTCCATTTCCTTTCCTGTTATAGAGAAGGAATGTTCTGATTATTTTGTTCTTAATTATTCTTTTAAATGGTTCAATAATATCAGAACATTATTTTTATGAATTATTGTGAGAATTGGTTGTGCATTTTGTTTCAATTTCAAAAGCAAAAACATCAGGGTTGTTTCTACTTTGGTCACATGAAAAAATGTCGCATTTATTTGAGAATTTCATTGCTTGGATCAAAAGTCTCAAAAAATACAAACTTAAAGATCATATGTATTAGGTGTTTGTCAAGATTTTCTTACCATATTTGATTTTCCTATCTGTTGAAGGAAAGGGCAACATGTTTACCTTAATTGGGTTTTCCTTCTCGTAGAAGGAAATTACAAATCTCCCATATTTGGCTAGTCCTTTTTCTTGTAGGAAAAGGTTTGGACTTCTATAAATTGAGGATCCTTCCATCTCATTCAAGAGCATCCACAATGTAGCCATATGGGATTTGAGAGTCGTGTTTAGGGGGAGAACTTTATGGGACAAGTGTTAGTGTGTCACTTGTGTTTGCCTCTTCGTGAGGTTGTTTCTCAATATTTTGTACTCTCTTTTATATAGTGGATTGCTCATCTCTGCCGCGGACGTAGGTCAATTGGCCGAACCACGTTAAATGTTTGTGTCTCTTTTGGTATATTTCTCTCTGTTGTATGATTTATCGTCGTTCAAGGTTTGCTTTACTAGCTTTCGCATGACACCTGATTTTTTTCGGTCCTAACAATGGTATCAGAGCCTTGGTTATTTATCTGGGTTGTTACGAAATGGAGGCGAATATGAGCAAGATGGTATGTTTAAATGGGAGAAATTATAATGTTTGGAGAAGCAAGATGAAAGATTTGTTGTTCGTGAAGAAGATGCATCTACCGTTTTTGCAGCTCATAAACCCGAGAGTATATCTGATGAAGATTGGGATTTCGAGCACCAAAAAGTATGTGGATATATACGACAATGGGTTGAAGATAATGTTCGCAACCACATTGTGAACGAGACACATGCGAGATCATTATGGGAAAAGCTAGAGACTCTTTATGCTTCAAAAACCGGGAACAACAAGTTGTTCCTACTAAAGCAATTGATGACCTTTAAATACAAGGAAGGCACCCCTATCCTTGATCACATAAATGATTTCCAGTGCGTCCTTGATCAGCTGTCTGGAATGGAAGTTAATTTTGATGATGAGATACAAGGACTTTGGCTTCTTAATACTTTACCAGACTCTTGAGAAACTCTTCGTGTTTCTTTGACAAATTCAGCTCCTAGAGGTAAGGTGACCATGGAATATGCCAAGAGTGGTGTATTGAACGAGGAAGTAAGGAGAAAATCTCAGGGTTCGTCCTCACAAGCAGATATCTTGGTTACAGGAGACCGAGGGAGAGATAGAACAAGAGGCTCGCGGAATAGAGGTAAAAGTAGAAGTAAGTCAAGGTCCAAATATCATAATATTACATGAAACCACTGTGCCAAGAAAGGACATATCAAAAGGTTTTGCCGCAAGTTGTTACAAGACATTAGAGAAGGAAAGAAAGTTGAAAATAACGAGAACAAGGTTGCTGCTATTGTTCGAGATGACCTTCTTTTTGCTTATGATGAAAACGTCATCAATTTGGTATCCCATGAGACGAGCCGGATAGTAGATTCTAGAGCTACCTCACATGTCACACCAAGAAAAGATTTTTTCTCATCCTACACTCCTGTTGATTCTGGAGTGTTAAAGATGGGCAATGCCAGTGAAATTAAGGTGTTTGGTGTTGGCACAGTTTGTTTGAAAACTAATAATGGTTCAACGTTAGTTCTTCAAGATATCAAGCATGCTCCAGACTTTCCTTTCAATTTGATCTCCGCAAGAAGATTAGACGATGAAGGTTACCATAATGCCCTCTTTAATGGCCAGTGAAAGCTCACCAAGGGCTCGTTAATAGTGGCTCGAGGAGTCAAGTCTGGTCATTTATATGTGACACAGGGCTCTATTCTTAATGACTCCATAAATCTAGTGGAAAGTGACACTTTATCAGAATTGTGGCATAGAAGATTAAGTCATATGAGCGAGAGGGGGATTACGTGTTTGGCTAAGAAAAGTTTTCTTTCTGGAGTGAAACAAGCAAAGCTAAAAAGGTGTATCCATTGTTTAGCTGGCAAACAGAAAAGGGTTTCCTTTCATAAAAGCCCGATTTATTGGAGCTAGTACACTCTGATTTTTGTGGTCCTTTTAAAGTCAAAAGGCGGTGCACTTTACTTTGTGACCTTCATTGATGATCATTCTCGTAAGCTCTGGGTGTATCCTTTGAAATCTAAAGATCAAGCACTTGGCGTATTTAAGGAATTTCAGGCCTTAATTGAGAGACAGACGGGGAAGAAATTAAAATGTATTCGCACTGATAATGGTGGTGAATATTGTGGTCCCTTTGATAACTATTGCAAGGAACAAGGAATTTGTCATCAGAAAACTCCCCCAAGACGCCTCAATTGAATGGTTTGGCAGAGAGGATGAATAGAACTCTAGTTGAAAGAGATAGATGCATGCTTTCAGAGGCTAAACTTCCAAATATATTTTGGGCAGAAGCACTTAACATTGTTGCCCATGTTATCAATTTGTCTCCTGCTGTTGCTTTGGATAGTGATGTCCTAGACATAGTTTGGTTTGCCTAAAAATGTTTCTTATGATCACCTGAGAGTTTTTGGGTGTAAAGCTTGTGTGCATGTTCCTAAAGATGAGAGATTGAAACTGGATGTCAAAACTAAGCAGTGCATCTTATTAGAAGACAGATGAGTTTGGGTATCGTTTTTACGATCCAGTTGACAATAAACTTATTAGAAGTCGTGGTGCAATATTCTTTGAAGACCAGACTATCGAAGATATTGACAAAGCTGAGAAGACAGATTCTCAGAGTAATGAGAGCTTAGTTGATATTGATCCAATTTCTATTGCTAAGGCACCTATTGCACATGAAGGAACCCAGGACAATAATGAAGATAGTGATCAAGATCAAAATGATCATCATGGTGTAGCTGTTATGGATGCTCCAGTTGATGAAGTTGTGGTTGATCAACAACCAATTCCTGCTCAGGTAACTACTTCGAATGCTCCTGAAACCTCTCCTAGAAGATCTACAAGGAAGAAGCAAAAATCCATGCGCTATCCTCCTGATGAGTATGTACTTTTGACTGACATGGGAGAACCTGAGAGCTATGATGAAGCCATGCAAGATACTCACAAAGATCAGTGGATAGAAGCCATGGAAGATGAGATGAAGTCACTCCATGAGAATGGCACATATGAGTTAGTGAAATTGCCGAAAGGTAAGAGAGCTTTATCTAACAAATGGATATTCAGAATTGATAGAATATATGAGTCCACCAAACTATATAGGGACCAGGTCCTATATAGGTTTTCACAGATAACGCTAATGCAACAGTAAGTAAATGGAACAAGGAACTTTTACGTGGAAAAATCCCTGCTCAAGGGGATAAAAAACCACGACCTACACTGGCAGGATTTCAACTTCACTATGAGCAATCTTTAGATTACAACCTATGCAATCTAGGAATTAAACTCTTAATCCCTCACTAACTTGTAATACACCTATTACAAGCCACTTTGCAATATACCTATTACAAAGACTTCAACTCATGACTAACTCTAGTCACGACAACAACAACAACAACAACATACCCAATAAAATCCCACAAGTGGATTTATGGTTTACAAGGGGTTCCTAAAAAAGGCTTCTAGATAAGCAAAGTAAGAATTACAATGAAGAAAAATTACAAAGTTACAACTCAACTAAGGACATACAAGAGGCTTGTTGTAGGAACTGGTCCGTAATAGTGTTGTACTTTGTTCTTGATGCACTTGAGAATTGGATGTTTGATTGTCAGATGCTTGAATGAATTCTCTAAGTGTTCAAGTGATGTTTTGTTGTAATGTTTATTGTTAATACAACATGGATGACTTCACTTGAATGATGTAATCACTTGGTTGGTCAATGAGAAGTGACTGTTGTACTGTGCTGCACTATTTGCGTGTACAGTGCAGGCACTTCACTTTCCAGCTGTAGATAGTTGACTTCATACTGCTGTCAGGGGAACCCAAGGGGATTAGGTCCCTGTGTTGATTCTTTATCTTCTAAAGTCATATCAACTCACATTAGCTCGAGTCCGCTGAT